CTTTTATCCTAATACTTTTATCCTGATACTTTTATCCTAATACTTTTATCCTAATACTTTTATCCTGATACTTTTATCCTAATACTTTTATCCTAATACTTTTCCGGATCCAGAGACATTCTCTCAAATATAATCACTGATTGTGTGAACACAAGTGAATCAATTCAAGCGATAAATGCTATTATCGTCGAGAAATTGATCCAAATATTTAACAAATATGAATCAACAAAAATTGCAATCAGTTTATACAATAAAACTATTTTAATAATAAGTTTTAATTATTACTATTTAATTATTATCACTCAATGAGTCTCTAGTAGAGACTCTCTACTATATTTGTAAATTCGTACATAAGCTATATTTTTTTGCACTTATATAGTAATTATTAAATTTAATTTAGTTTGAAATTAAACTCTTTTATTATTAAATTTAATTTATAAAGTTTTAATGTTTTACTAAAAAATTTAATAATTCAAACTCCATAATATTAATATGATAAAATGGTCACGTTTAATCTCTACTACAAATTATCCATGCACGTATTGGCGGCTAAATCACCACCGTCAATCACGAGGTTGGCCCCGGTGATAAACGTGGCATGGTCGCTGGCCAAAAAGTGAACGGCTTGAGCCACATCGATGGGTCGGCCCTCTCGGCCCACCGGTAGGCGTTGCCTATAGAGCTCGGTGTATGTCTCGACACTGTCTCGGCTCACGCCCGACGACTCGTATATACCGGTGGGTATATATCCAACACTAGTTCACCATGGTAGAATTATTTAAATAGATATGAATAGTTAATGAGCTAGAGTAAATATTACTTGATTGTGTTAACCCGGATGCGTTTGGGCCCGAGTTCGGCGGCCATACACTGGCCAAACATGTCGAGTGCGCTCTTAGCTATACAATAGGCGCTCGTATTTCGGACCTGCAAAATAAAAATGATTATTTTGTTTGTATAGCTGAATTAATAATTATATCATGATGACTTTTATTATCATAATGTTACATAGGACTTATTAATCACAGTATATTTAAAATATTATTATAATAAATATGTCGGTGTACTTACGGTACGCTTTGAAGCTATACTCGAAATATTAATAATATTTCCATTGGTTTTCTCCAAATACTCGACACATATATGCGTTAAATAGACGACAGAATCCAAGTTAACAGACATTAAATTCTTGTAAGTGTTGTAAAAGTTATGGTCAGTAATAATGCCGAAGAAGAGGGCGCCCGCGTTATTGACCACAATATCCAGTTTACCAAACCGTCCGATAGTCTGGTCGACCATACGTTTGAGATCTTCCTGTTTGGTCACATCCGCCAACACTTCCAGAGGTTTAATCCCTTTCGGCGATACATTGAGACACTGTTTGGCCACTTCTGCCACTTTGTCTGCGTTACGACCGGTGACCACAACACTGGCACCCGATTGAGCCAACTGTACGGCAATGCCGGCACCGATACCACCACTCGAGCCCGTGATTAGCGCCACTTTACCCGTGAAGTCGTAAGTAACAGACATATTGATACTGACTTATGTTATATTAATGTTTTAATTAAAATATTTTAATTAATTTTAATAAGTTTATTTAATATATAAAAATTAATTTTTTAATTATAATTTAACACATAATAAATACTGTTTTTAGTAATTAAATTTTTTAATATTATAAAACCAATAAAAATGATTTTATTAATTAATAATATAAGTCACTTGTTAATTAATTCTACAACGGTCATTTAATTGACGCAAATCAATTAATGATAATTTTCAAATAAAACTATTAAAATATCTATTAAATTGTAATATATCGCCAAATAATTCTAGAAAAATCAAATATTTTTACAAAACTACATTAATTATTAAACCTTATAATAAAACCACACAAACGTTTACCACATCCAGCAATAAATCACTCATCACTTGGTTGTAGCAAATCATGTCCGCAGCCGAAGACACTGTCGCCGCCGTCGCCGACAATATATCACTAAATGGTCACCACTTGTGGTACGAGAAGTTCGGTTCGGGTCCCAAACCATTGCTGTTAATACCCGGGGGTTTAGGTTAGTGTCAACGCTATAATCAAAGACACATTTAATTATACAGTATGTGTGACTGCAGGCACCGGACGGACAGACTTTTACGAACTACTATTCGGCGAACACCGGCTCGATATGAGTGTCTATACTGTGGTCGCACCCGAACTGCTCGGTTGGGGCCGATCGCGACCGCCGGCCCGAGACATGTCGCGCAACCGTTACAACAACGACG